AGACCCGGGATCGAATCCCACGTCAGGCTCCCGGTGCATGGAGCCTGCTTCTCCCTCTGCCTGTGTCTCTGCCTCTCTCTCTCTCTCTGTGTGACTATCATTAATATATAAAAAAAATTTTTTTAAAAAAAGAGAATAAAGCTATTACCATAAAACATTGTAATCCTATAAGCATTTTATTCCACATGTACCATACAGAGTATCACCTTGACACTGAAAATACAAGAATTCATTTTATTTAGTAGAAGTAGCTGAAAAATTAGACTTTGCATGAGCAATTCACTTAACTCCTTCAAGTTCAGTTAACCTTATTTTTTTTTTCAAGTGGGAGTTGGACTTAGTAACCCTTCAGGATCTTACTGTCGCTAAGTCTATAATTCTTTTTTTTTAAAAGATTTATTTATTTATTTATGATAGACATAGAGAGAGAGAGAGAGAGAGAGAGAGAGAGGCAGAGACACAGGCAGAGGGAGAAGCAGGCTCCATGCCGGGAGCCCGATGTGGGACTCAGTCCCGGGACTCCAGGATCGTGCCCTGGGCCAAAGGCAGGCGCTAAACCGCTGAGCCACCCAGGGATCCCCTAAGTCTATAATTCTTTTAAGTACATACTGAATAATATCTATTTACAGGTATTTTGCTAAGCCCTTTGGGAAATACTAAGATATATATCAAAGTCCCTGGCCTTCAGGAGACGATAAAGCCAAAAAAGCATATAAGAAATAAGGCATTTAAAAAAAAAAAAAAAAGAAGTAAGGCATATATAAGTATCTGCATCACACAGCAGTATATTGTGAAAACCATGCAGAAAAATCAGTTAAGTGAAAGAAGAGAGAATTTACAACTTGACAACAATTGAGGATGACTACATAAAGCATCATTTGAACTGTGTCTGGAGTCTTCAGTAAGAGTTTGATAGACAACTCTGACTAGGAGTATGCGTACCTACCAACCTAAGCTTGAGCGCAGAGATGAGAAAACAAAGTGTGTTCAGGGAAGTACAGTCAGTTTATTAATGGAGGAATTGTGCTTCAGTGATGAGAAAAGAAGTGGAAAGTATAACTTAGAAGTAAGATTATGAATGGTCTCAACCTATGGAGACCAGTAGGGTAAGATTATTCTGAGAGAATGTGTAGATATGGAAGATGCCATGGACTGAGGAACAGAATTGATGCTGAAATATCAACGAAGAAACCAATATGATCATCCAGGTAGGAGCTAGTTAGGGTCTGAGGTAGGGCAGTGGCAACCCAATGAAATGGTTGAGGCAGACCATTCTGTCTCTAGATGACAGAGATTAATGAAGTCAGAATTCACAAGGTTCAGTGAATGGTTTGGGTATAACTAAGGATTGAAATCAGTGTGACTGGAAATAATGGAGGTAACTTTAATAAAAATTGTCAAGTCAAGGAGTGAAGTTGATTTTTGAGAAGGGATAATAATAAGAGAATTCCGGTCTTTCAATAAATCTTTCCCACTTATGTAGTGACAATTTTGATGCAGTAAAAAAGGTACAGTATTCTCTGTGAATCCTTATCTGTTTCTTGAAAAACCACTATTTTCTTACAGATATTATCGTTTCTTGTCAATAATGCTTGTCAGTTAGTATGAATCTAAATGGCCTTATGTCCTAATTTGGGGAAGGAATAATATAGGATAGAATTTTTATTTTTTTATTTTTATTTATTTTATTTTTTATTTATGATAAGCACACAGTGAGAGAGAGAGGCAGAGACACAGGCAGAGGGAGAAGCAGGCTCCATGCACTGGGAGCCCGACATGGGATTCGATCCCAGGTCCCCAGGATCGCGCCCTGGGCCAAAGGCAGGTGCCAAACCACTGCGCCACCCAGGGATCCCTAGGATAGAATTTTTAAAAATATTCTTTAAGAATACCACGTGGAGGGATCCCTGGGTGGCGCAGCAGTTTAGCGCCTGCCTTTGGCCCAGGGTGCGATCCTGGAGATCCAGGATCGAATCCCACGTCAGGCTCCCTGCATGGAGCCTGCTTCTCCCTCTGCCTGTGTCTCTGCCTCTCTCTCTCTCTCTCTCTCTCTCTCTGTGATGACTATCATAAATAAATAAAATTAAAAAAAAAAAAGAATACCACGTGGAATAGCCACAACTTAGTGGTCCATAAAAGTAAAATTTTACTTTAGATTTGGAGAAGCAATTCATTTATAAATAATAACTATCAAAAACTATAGCAATAGAAAATGAAGTACAAAAAAAAAAAAGAAAATGAAGTACACTCATATACTAGGAACTGTGAGGAAATACGTGAAGAATTTTTATTACACAACAAAATATATAAACATATGATAGCTCTAATTAAAACTGCTTGTCCCTTCATTCTCTTAATTGCTATAGTTGACCCATGTATGCTCCCCTTCACCTGATATGGTAATCTGCACTTTCTTGAGTAGGGAGTGAGAGAAAGGAAATGAAAACAAAAAGAACCATTTATAATTAGGAAAAAGCTTAGGAGAAAAAAAAAAAGATTTTAAAGTACTAAATAAAGCTGTAAAAATGAAAATTTTTGAAGAGAATAGGCAGTTGTGATTTTTTTTTCTCCTACTTCTGCATAGCACCAGACAGCAAAAATGGTGCTGCCAAATTGCAGACTTCCACTTGACGGATTTTGAAGCATCAGATGAGGGATCCCTGGGTGGTTCAGCGTTTGAGCAGCTGCCTTTGGCTCGGTATGATCCTGGACTCCTGGGATCAAGTCCCACGTCGGGCTCCCTGCGTGGAGCCTGCTTCTCCCACTGCCTGTGTCTCTGCCTCTCTCTCTCTCTCCTCTCTCTGTGTCTGTCATGAATTTAAAAAAAAAAAATCTTTGAAGTATCAGATGGTTGGTTAAAAACCCTGTTTTCATGTGTCATATTACTTTCACCACGAATAGTCTCCTTTTGCCTTGAATTTTGAAGTGTTGTTTTTATTTTTTCCATGTAATTATTAGATTGTAGGTAGTTATTCAGCTGCCTTTAGAGTCATGGCTTGGGTGGAATAAAGACTTTCTGGTCCAGTATTTCCCTAAGTGTGCTTGTCAACTGTAGTCATAAGGAAAGGGCTCTGGGATCAATTTGGTTAGGAAATGCTGGGTTAAATAAACACAGTCAAATAAGAATTTTATTTAGGTGGTGGAGAGGAGAGGTATAGAATCTCAGAGACTTTAATATGTTAATGTGACTCAACTAAGGAGAAGCAAGATAGAACATTTCACAATCTTATTTGACCACAAAATCCTTTTTTCATGGAGTCTTTCTCAGAACCATTGTTTCATAGAACACATGTGGGGAAACTCCAATCCTTTACATTTAGAGATAAGCAGAAATGAGATGAAATACTTCATTCGATACTGCATAGCTGTTTACTTAAAAGAATGGACTTGACCTAAGGGCTCCCACCATATTTAGTTTTGCTTCCTTTAGCCCCAAAATTCATAAAAGTCTTTGAAAATTACACAATACTCCAAATTGGGCCCATAAAATACACAGAGGTGCTTCAAGAAATAAAACTAATGATTTAATTATTTTTAGTATATTTTGAATTGGCACATTGGCTTTGATGTTAGGTCAGAAGAGCCATTTAATATTTGTAACTGAGGTTACACTTTTGCAATCAGGAAACTTCCCCCCCCCCACAAAAATCAACCATCTTTCAAATTATAAAATCTGCTTCCTTTCAAATTATAATATATATAACAACAAGTTTCCCCACTTTCCCCAAAAAAAGGACTGGAGGAAATGACTGTTTATGATTTGCTGTCAGTTATGCCAAACCCCATCTCTATATAAACAAATGTATCTTTTAAAAGCTTACTTACTTAGATGGCATTATGATAGACATGCTATTCTTTACCCTGTACATTTTTATTCAATGATATTACATGTTTATTTTTCACATTAATACATGAAGATCTTTAAATTTTTTTTTTTATTGAAGCATTGTTGACCTACATGTTACATTAGCTTCAGGTACATAATGTAGTGATTCAACAAGTTTATGCATTATGCTGTGCTCACCACAAGCGTAGCTACCATCTGTTACTATACAAGGCTATTACACTATCATTGACTGTATTCCCTATGACTTTTCATCCTTGTGATTTATTCTTTTATTTTTATTTTTTTTTAATTTTTTATTTATTTATTTATGATAGTCACACAGAATGAGAGAGAGAGGCAGAGACATAGGCAGAGGGAGAAGCAGGCTCCATGCACCGGGAGCCTGATGTGGGATTCGATCCTGGGTCTCCAGGATCGCGCCCTGGGCCAAAGGCAGGTGCTAAACCGCTGCGCCACCCAGGGATCCCCCTTGTGATTTATTCTTTCCATAACTGCAAGTGTGTACCGCTCACTGCCTTTCACCCATTTTGCTCCAACCTTCAGTTTGTTCTCAGAATTTGTGGATCTGTTTCTGCTTTGTTTTGTTTTTTAGATTCCACATATAAGTGAAGTCAGATGGTTTTCTCCTTCTCTGTGTGACTCATTTCACTTAGGATAAAACCCTCTAGGTATATCTATGTCACAAACAGCAAGATCTTCTTTTAATGGCTCAATAATATTACATTATATAGCTGTACTGTAATTTGTGTCATAGGTTTCCTAGTGACGGACATTAGGGTAGTTGTAATTTTTTTTAAGATGGTGCTGTAGTGAATTTTGATAAAGGTCTTCTGTTGCTTTTACTTTTGAACTTTTGTGTATATGTCTGTAGCAATTCCTTGAAGTGGAATTGCTGGGTTAAATAATATGCACATTAAAGTTTTCATAAATATTGCCAAATTGCCTTTAAAAATGGTTAGCTTATCTCCCATTGCCAGCATTGCGACAGGAACCTTGAAAATGGTATAACTTTTACTGGATGTAAAAAAAAGACTTTATAATGTAGAATAGTGAGTATCTTACCACGTTAATTTTAAAATCATAAAGAAAATTTATGAAGTGTTGATGATCATGATCTCTCTTTCTCTCTCCCTCCATCCCCTACTCTTTATAGAGCAAATTATTCATGGAAGGATTTAGAAGCCTAAAAGAAGGAGAACCAGTAGAATTCACATTTAAAAAATCTTCCAAAGGCCTTGAATCAATACGGGTAACCGGACCTGGTGGGAGCCCCTGCTTAGGAAGTGAAAGAAGACCCAAAGGGAAGACACTACAAAAAAGAAAACCAAAGGGAGATAGGTAATCATTTTACTTTGTTAGTTTGTGAGTTTATTGTATTTAGGAAAAAAAAATCTGAAAATGTGTTTGTCTTTTTATTATGTTATTGCATTTAATATAGTCTAGTCAAAGTAAATAAAATGCCACCATTGTGAAGTTGAATAAACTTTCTTAGGAATATAGGCTATATTGCAATTTGAACTCTGCACTATTTCCCACCAGATTGTTCTGAGATCACAAATGAGAAGCTGAGATTTCCAACAGACAGTGCTATCCCTCTGTGTATGTCTTAACGCCTCATCTTACCTTTATTGTTTTGTCTGTTTTTTTTTTTAAGATTTTATTTATTCATGAGAGAACACACAGAGAGAGAGAGAGAGGGAGGGAGAGAGAGAGGCAGAGATAAAGGCAGAGGGAGAAGCAGGCTCCATGCAGGGAGCCCGATGTGGGACTTGATTCTGGGACTTGAAGATCACGCTCTGGGCTGTAGGCAGGCGCCAAACCGCTGAGCCACCCAGGCGTCCCTGTTCTGTCTGTTTTTAAAAGAGAACTCATATTCTTTTTAAAATATAACTCATGTATCTTATAATAAAAAATTATAAGGAAGTCTGAAAAAAATCACTTGAAATCCTGACTAGAGGTAGGAATCATAATATTTATGCAGTATTTTTGAAACTTGCTTTTTTTTCCCCATTTAACAGTAGATCAAGAACATTTCATATCAGTCATTAGCACCTGTATAAATTCCCACTGTGTGAATAGACCAGAATTTATTTATTTTTTGAACGTACCAGAATTTATGCAAGGCTAAAGTAATTTGTTAAATTTAAGCTATTTTGACCTTATCAGTAGTGCCACAGTGGGAATCCTTATATGTACATTTTTGAAAAATTGTTTATATCCTTGGGATAAATGCCTAATATTGAAAAATCTGGATCAAAAATAAGGCATTTAAAAATTTTTGATGTCTGTTTCCAGACTGCTTTCCAGAAATGATTAGGGCCAATATAAAACTCCTTTAAAAATGAGACTGCTAAAAAAATAAATAAATAAAAATAAAAATGAGACTGCTCATGGAATGATGTCATTTTATTTTATTTTTAAGATTTTTATAATTTTTTTATCAATCTCTACACTCAACATAGGGTTCAGACTTACAATCCTGAGATCAAGAGTCACAGTCTCTGCCGACCTAGCCAGCCAGGGGCACCCCTTAAAGAAATATTTTTAAATTTTTCTTCAATTTTTAAGAATTATTTTATTTTTCAGATTTTATTTATTTATTTGAAAGAGAAAAATCACTAGTAGGGGAAGGGACAGAGGGAGAGGCAGAGGGAGAAGCAGATTTCCTATTGAGCAAGTGTGCAATGAGAGGCTCAATCCCAGGACCTTGAGATCATGACCTGAGCCGAAGGCAGATGTTTAACTGATTGAGCCACCCAGGTGCCCCCAAATTTTGTAATGTAGGCTCCATACCCAATATGGGGCTTAAACTTACAACTCTGAGATTGAGTCACATACTCTACCAACTGAGGTAGCCAGGCACCCCTGAATGATGTTATTTAAAAATTTTTTTCTGGGGTTCCTGGGTGGCTCAGTCATTTTGGTATCTGGCTCTTGATTTTGGCTCAGGTCATGATCTCAAGGTCATGAGATTGACCCCCACATCAGGCTCTGGACTCAGTGGGGAGTCTGCTTAGAGATTCTCTCTCCCTCTTCCTCTGCCTTCCCTCCCCCCACACGGTTGCTTTCTCTCTCAAATAAAAAATTAAAAAAAAAAATCTTTTCTAATTATATAGGTTAAGAGATACAGCTCATTCTTTTCCTTTGTGTCCTTTGATTAGATTAGAGGTTTTATATATATTTGAGGTTAAGTATATTTTTATGTCAATTTTCATTTTTCTCTTCTATGAATTATATGTTTTCTGTCCTTTGCTCATAAGACTAATGAGGCGTTCATTTGTTATTATTGGTTTGTAAGTTCTCTGTTTAGGAAAAACTCTGTTTTCTTTTTTCCTACTATGAAAAACCTAGTTCTTCCCTACTATCTTTTTCTCTTGTGTGTCTCCTTTATTATTATACGGCACTTCATTTCTGATACCAAGTGTGTGGAGATTTTACCCCCACACAAAACAGTTCTCCACAACACCGGCTGGATGTCCTACAATTGAACTCGATCCTGGGACCATCTATCTGGAGACAGAGTCAGACCCCACCGGTTAAGGGCTAAGTCCCACAAGACTGTATCCCTCCACACACTTGAGATGCCAGTTGCAAGAAGTGGGTTCCAAGGTTGCCAACCTTTGTTTGATTGGCTATAAATCAGAGGTTCCCACATCATCCTCAGTCTTGGTTAATTTGCTAGAGTGACTCACAGAACTGAGGGAAACTCTTAGGTTTACCAGTTCATTAAAGGATATGATAAAAGATACAGATGAAGAGGATATACAGAGGATGAGGTCTGGGAGGCTCTGAGTGTAGGAGCTTCTGTCGAGGTGGAGTTGGGGTGATCACTCTCCCATTTTGAAGGCTTCGGAACTCCTCACTCTTAGGATTTTATGGAGACTTGCTCATGTAGGTATGATTAATCAGTAACTTCATTTTCAACCTTTCTCCCCCTTAGAAAAATGGGAGCAGGACAGAAAATTCCAAGCTTCAAATCATGCTTTGGTCTTTCTGGTGAGCAGCTCTTACCTAGGAGCCCACCCAGAATTCCCTTAGAATGAAAGACACTCACCCCTATCACCCAGGATATTAACAGGGGTTGCAAGAGCCCTCTGTCAGGAACAGAGGTCCAATACCAGTGTTAGAACAAGAGATGATCCTAATGGTTTTATCACTTAGGAAGTGACAATGGTTTTAGGAACTCCATGCCAGGAACCAGGAGCAAAGACCAATATGGATTTTCAGTTTTCTCACATTGTCTTTATGTATTTATGATGTTAACCTTTTGCTTCAAATAAATATTTTTTTCAGCTTGTGAAATAAAATTTAGTTTTAATTATAGTGACTTTTAAAGGTTTTAAAATAATGAATTTGTATACAAACAAGTCTGTCTCTATCTCCTTAATGCTATCTGACTTGATTGCTATTTGGCTTTCCAACTTGCAAAATTAATCATATATCTATCTAGGGGAAGCTGAATGACTCAGTCGGTTAAGCATCTGACTCTTGTTTTTGGCTCAGGTCATGATCTCAGTGTTGGGCCATCAAGCCCCACCTTTGGGCTCCATGCTCAGCAGTCTGCTTGAGATTCTCTCTCTCTCTCCATCTCCTTCTGGCCCTCCACCCATGCTTGCGTGCACTCTCTCTCTCCCTCCCTCAAATAAATCTTTTTTTAAAAAAGTGTCATACTGGCAGTTTTGCGGTGACAACGCAAAGAGAAAGGGGTAAGAATGGAAGCTGAGAATCACTGAGAGGCGGTTCCATTAAAGCAGAAAAACGACAATGGTGGTTCAGATTGGGATGGTAGCAGTAGAAGTGAGGAACAAAAATCCCGACATCGCGAAGGTAGGGGAAATAGGATTTACTTTTGGATCAGATGTGGACTCTAAGAGAAAGTGAAATATTCAGGATGACTCACAAGGTTTGTTTGGCTTGAGCAGTCAGAAAGATGAAGAGACCGTTTACCAAGAGGGAAAAGACTAGAGAAGGAGCAGGAAATTAGAAGTATGGTCTCAGATATATTTAGGTGGAGATTTATAATAGACATTGATTGGAAAAATAGATTAGGTAAGTGGATGCAGGAGTATGGAGTTCCAAGGCTCTATAAAAAGACTTGGCAATATTCAGCAGAAAGGAGGTATTTACAGCCTTAACACTGAATGAGATCACTGTCAGAGTGAGTATACGTGGAAAAAGAGAAGACCACTAAACTGTAGCACATTCCAGCACCCAGTAATCAGGAGAGTAGAAGCAAAGGGCATTAAGTTAGAAGGAGGGAAATAGGAAAATTAAAAGGGTTTTGTCTCATAAGTCAAGGAGAGAAGTATTTCAAGAAGGAGAGGGACTCCCGTGTGTGAAATGGTGTTGATGGTGAAATGATTAAGATAACCACCAAGACTTGAGCATTTAGCAACAAGGAAATCACTGGTGAAGTTGACAAGGTCAGATTCAGTGGACTGTTGGGAGTGAAAGTCTAAGCTGGTTGTGTTCAATAGAAGGAAAGGAGAGGAAGTGGAGACAGCAAATTTAGACAGTTTGGGGAGTTTCCCTGTAAATGATAGCAGAAAAATCAAGCAACAGCTGAGGCATGGAACTTACAGCATGTTTATGTGTCAGTGAGAATGGTCCAGTAGAAAGGGGAAGATTGAACATTCAGGAAAGAGGAGGTCAATCGTTGGAGTGATTTTCCTTGTTGAAAATCAGAGAGAGGTTCAGGGTATAAAGCATAATGGAGACAGCTAGCCTTGCAAGCACGGACAGTTCATTTCTTCAGAAGTAGAGGTAAGACACAGCACACAGGTACAGATACAGGTGAGTAGATACAAGAATGAAATAAGGTGAGATTTCTGAGCTTTTTTCCAGTTTTCTTAGTGAAATTTCAAGCAAGGTCATCAACTGGAGAGGGATGGTAGAAGAGGAGGTTTGGAGATTTACAAAGAAAGAAGGTATAAAATAGGAGATTAGGGGGCTCCTGGGTGTCTCAGTCCATTAAGCGTCTAATTCTTTGTTTAGGCTCAGGTCATGATCTCATGGGTCATGAGATGGAGTCCTGTGTCAGGCTCCACACTCAGCGGGGAGTCTACTTAAGATCCTCTCCCTCTGCCTCTCCCCCCACGCATTCACACATGTGCTTTCTCTCTCTCTCTCTCTCTCTCTCTCTCTCTCTCTCTCTCAAATAAATACATAAATCTTTTTTAAAAATTGAAACAGGGGACGCCTGGGTGGCTCAGCAGTTGAGCGCCTGCCTTGGCCCAGGGCGTGATCCTGGAATCTGGGGATCGAGTCCCACATCAGGCTCCCTGCATGGAGCCTGTTTTCTCCCTCTGCCTGTGTCTCTGCCTCTCTCTGTGTGTCTC